GGGGGGGATGGTGGTGTGCCAAATTTGGTGGGAGAGAGCACCAGTTTGGGTTGGGCCCTGTTGAGTTTGAGGTACCCATGGGCCATCGATTGGATTTATGCAAAAGTTGCCTGGATATACCGGATTCCCATAACCTGTTACTGTTGAGTCGATTCTGACTCACAGTGACCCTATAGGACAGAACAGAACTGCCCTATAGGGTTTCCAAGGAACAGCTGGTGGACTTGAACTGCTGATCTTTCGGTTAACAGCCGAGCTGGTAACCCCTGTGCCACCAGGGCTCCATATATGAAATTAGAACTTATTATACATAATTTGGAGCCCTGCTGGCACACTGATTAACAGCTTGGCTGCTAACTAAAAGGTCTACAGTTCAAATCCACCAGCTGCTCCATGGAAGCCCTGTGGGACAGTTCTACTCTCTCCATGGGGTCACTCTGAGTCGGAATAGACTCAGTGGCAACAGGTTTGGTTTGTGTTTCGGTATACATAACTCTACGAGACCCCATTCAGAATCAGGTAGCAGGTTCATTTAGAAACGGAAAGAGCCTACACTGAACATGAACTTCATTTGGGTTTATGAAGATGAAAAAGGTAGGCAACATTGAGGCTGCTGAGGGTTTTCTTACACATTCACTTGATATTACTTTAGTGACTTTGTTTTGAAGAATAGACAATGAGCGTGTTCTCCTTACAGATTCCCTGTGTTGGGCAAGGGTGTGTTGTGATTACCACCCCTAACTCCAAATGTGACCAACAACAACCAAAAACCAGTTGCCACCAGGTTGACTGATGGGTGGTGATCACATGTGTGTCAGAGTAGAACTGTGCTCCATAGGGTTTTCAGTGACTGATTTTCCAGAAGTAGATCACTAGGCATTTCTTCTGAGACACCTCTGGGTGGACTCAAACCTGTTGGTTAACAGCTAAGCTCTTTAACTGTTTGCACCCCAGGGACTCGATGTGACTAAATCTTTATTTAATTAAAAGGATAAGTTACTAGGACCTCAAGTTAATATGTAGCCCTATAGCTGATTGTAGCCGATGCTGTGTTGGTGTGCTTTATATCACACAGAGGGGCTGTGGAGTTTGAGTTGTTTTTTTTTTTTTTCTTTGTCATAAGATTACTACTTGCTCACTGCAGAAATTTTAGAAAGTACAGAAAGCCCCAGACAGGGAGAAAATCACCTGATCATATGAGCCAACTCATTTTTAACATATTATTATATACAGTTCCTTTCAGTCTTTTCCAGTGTATTTCTAGGTAGCTGTGTCATATTGTATAAATATTTTTGTGTCTTGCATGATAAAACCAAGGCATGATCTTTGAGTTGGACCTGGAAGTATGGGTAGACTTTTGCAAGTGGGTCCTGGGAGCAGGGTGCATTCCAGGTGGGGAGCAGACCCACACGAGCAGAAGCAAGATGGTCTAGGTTCTGGTGGACAGTCTGCTTTGGGTGTAGCATGGATAAGCTTTTGGGGCAGTTGAAGTGGGATTTCAGGCTGGAAATGTATACGGGGGCAGATGATGGAGGTTTTTGAAAATCTTAGCTTGAGGAGTTTGGCCCCAATTCTGTTAAAATCTTCATCTTCCCACCCTCTCCCTTAAGTCACCGATTTTCAACCAGAGCTGAACATGATCACATTAATGATTAAAAAAGAAGAAAAACAAAAAAAGAAAACACGGCTGTCGAGTTGATTTCGACTCATAGTGGCCTTATAGGACAGAGTAGAACTGTCCCATAGTGTGTCCAGGGAGCGGCTGGTGGCCAACCCTTTGGTTAGCAGCGAGCTTTTAACCACTGGTGCCCCAGGGCTCCCCCATTAATGACGCAGGAAGACAGTTCCGTCAGTGTGACTTAGGAGTGAGGGTGGGGGCAGATAGGGAGTCATTGTATTTGGTTTTAGGGATTTGCTGGAATAGTAACATTTTTCTTTTTGTCTCTATCTCATTCTTTCGTTTTCCTAGGAGAATATGCAAGTGTTACTCAAGCTCGTTTGTGTCATAGCTCTCCTGGTTTCTTCTCTCCAGGCTGGTAAGTTCACCGTTTCTTTGTGTTCTTGTCAGCTGAAACAATCAATTATTTAGAATATATGAAGAAACTTACCTAACAGAGTTATTTTTATTACCTTTTTCTGCTGAAATTCAGGACACAGAGCCTCATTCTCCTAGAACTGTACTTCTGGTAGTTCCTTAAAAAGAGAAAAACCCATCGCCATCCATTCAATTCTGGCTCATAGTGACCTACAGGACAGAGTAGAACTGCTCCGTAGGGTTTCCAAGAAGCAGCTGGTGGATTCGAACTACTGACCTTTTGGTTAGCAGCCGAGCGCTTAACCACTGTGCCACCAGGGCTCCTTTAGGCATCTTCAACTCTCATTCTTGTTCCCTCCTTTTACAGATGGGGAAACTGAGGCCCAGAAAGAGCCAAGGTCCTATATTTTGCTCAAGATCTTGCTCTAGTTTCAGAGCAAGAGCTAAAATCCAGGTCTCCAAATGTCTAGTCCTGTCCTCTTTCCACTTTCCTGCCGAGTGAAGAGCGTGATGCGGGAAGTTCTGACACTTATTTGGAAGAGACGTTAAGTGTATTCTTTATGAACTACAGTTAGAAACCATCAAGAGACAGCTCTTCGTTTTCTCTTTTTATTCCTTCCCTGTCACTTTTCCTCCCTTCATCCTTTACTACAAATTTATTGAGCCTCCACCGTGTGTCAGGCAGTAGGTGCTGGGAATACGGCAACAGTGAATAATGCAGACAAAAATGCCTCTCTGCATGGAGTTTATAGTCTAGTAGGGGAGACAGACGATACATTAAATAAGTAAATATGTATTTGTACTATAGTGATGCACATAGGCAGGAAAAACAGCAGGAAATGGGGGTATCCAGTCGGATTGAGGTGAGGTGGGCAGAGGTTAAACTTTGGATAGGCTGGCCAGGAAAGGTCTCACTGAGGATTTGGCTTTTGAGTTAAGCCTGCAAAAAGGAGCTCTAGAGATGAGGTTGGCGGCGGGGAAACATTCCTGGCAGCATGTGCAAAGGTCGTGAGGCCAGAGAGCAGCTGGCGTATTCCAGGACCTATAACACCAGTGTGGCTGGAGCAGAGAAAGAGGTGGGGGAGGTGATAAGAGACGAGGTCATTTGGGTCGTGGGAGGATGGTGGCAGCTTGATTGTGTAGAACCTTATATAGGCCTTTGTAAGGATTGTAGCTTGTTTACTCTGAGTGAAATGAGAAGACTTTGTTCAAAACTAGAGAGGATGATCTGACTCACATTTTAACAAGTATCCTTCTGGTTCCTGTTGAAAATAAATCATAGGGAGGCAAAGGCAGAAACAGAAAAGCCAGTTAGAGGCTGTTGCAGTAATCCAAGGCACGCAATGATGGTGGCTTGTTCCAGGCAAGAAATGATGGTGACTTGTACAGGGGTGGTAAGGAGAAATGAGAAGTAGCCAAGTTTTGGGTATATTTGGAGTGTAGTGCTAAGAGCACTTGCAGATGGAAAAGATGTGGTATGTGAGGTAAAGAGAGGAATCAAGCATAACTCCAAAGGTTTTGGCCTGAGCAAACACAAGGTGGAGTTGCCACTGATGGGGTGGAAGAAAATCAGGAGTTCAGAATGGACACGTTCAGTTTGCTATCCATTAGATGTCTGTCTGGTGATACTGACTAGGTATTCTGGAGCCCAAAAGAGATATAAAATTGGAGACATCAGCAGCTGACCTTAGGGCCATGAGTGGATGGAATCCCCTTGGGAGAGAGTGTGATTAGAACAGAGAAGAAACTTCAAGGGTTGAGTTCTGTGACCCTCCAAGGATTGGTGGTCTGGCTTCCACTGGTCAGAGAACCAGTGAAAGACTGGCCTGAAATGTAGGCAGAGAACAAGACAAGTGTCCTGAAAGCCAAATGGAGGAAGTATTTCAATCATGAGAGAATGACAGTAGGTGCAAATGTAGACATGTCTGAGAGTTCTTTATTTGATTTAGCAGCTTAAAAGTCGTGGGTGATCTTGATCAGAACAGTTTCAGGGGAGTGATGGGGCAACACCCAGAGAAACAGGAGAGTATGTGTCTAGCTGAGGACTTACTTAAGGTTTACTATTTTTATCACTGCTCTCGTGGCTGCTACTGCTACCCTTAGTACTCCTTAGGAGTTCTCACTCTGCAGGTTCTATGCTACGGGTCTAGCCACTTCTGTTTCATTACTATTTTTTAACAGCTTTATTGAGGTATAGTTGACATACAATAAACCATACAGATTTAAAGTGTACAGTTTGATGTGTTGACATACATATTCACACCTGAAACCATCATCAGAAGCAAGATAATGAAAATATCTATTGTTCCCTTATGATCCTTTGTAATCCCTTCTTCCCATCCCTTTCTACTCCCTCACCCCAAGGCAACCACTAATCTACTTTCTGTCACTATAGATTTGTTTGTGTCCTCTAGAATTTTAAGCAAATGGAATCATACAGTATGTACTGCTTTTTTTTTTTTTTTTTAATCTGGCGTCCTTTACTCACTTATTTTTGGTATTTATTCATGTTGTGTCTTTGTGTATTTTAATAATTTGGCTTATTAATGAGTAGTATTCTGTTCAGGGACAGATTACCCACTAAGCAAGATGTGGTGAAGCCCATGTGAAATTATTCACCACAAATTAGTAAGTAAACACAATGAAGCCTGTGCATATCTTGCTTACTGTAAGCCTGTGCATACCTTGCTTACTGGTTAATCCCTTCCAAATTCGATTGTAGGGATATATAGCAGTTTACTTATCCATTCATATGTTGATAGACATTTTGGCTATTTCCAATTTTGCGCCATTAAAGATGGCTGTGGACATTCGTGTACAGGTCTTTGAGTGGGCATATGCTTTCATCCCTCTTGGGATTGGCTAGGCCATATGGTAGGTGTATGTTTAACTTTTTAAGAAACTGTAGAAGTGTCATCCAAAGTGATAGTACCATATTGCGTTCTCACTGGCAGTGTAGGAGAGTTCGAGTTCCACCACATCCTCACCAACCCTTGATATGGTCAGTCTTTTTAATTTTCACTCTTCTAATAGATGTGTAGTGGTATCTGATTGTGGTTTTAATTTGTATTTCTGCAGTGACTAATGATATTGAGTACCTTTTCATGTACTTATTTGCCATCCATGTATCTTACTTGGAGCCCTGGTGGTTAAGAGCTTGCCTGCTAACCAAAAGGTTGGCAGTTTGAATCTACCAGTCACTCCTTGGAAAACCAATGGGGCAGTTCTACTCTCTCCTGTAGAGTCACTGTAAGTCAGAATGGACTAGATAGCAATGAATTTATATCTTATTTGGTAAAGTGTCTGTTACGGATTGAATTATGTCTCCCTAAAATATGTGTTGTGAATCCTAATCTCTGCTTATGGTTATAATCTCATTTCGGAATGGGTTGTCTTTGTTATGTTAATGAGACAGGATTAGTGTAGGGTATATTTTGAGTCAGTCTCTTTTGAGATATAAAAGAGATTAAACAAGCAAGTGAGAGAAGCAGAGATGGGGGAAGACTGATGCCAAGCCACGTGGAGATCTCCAAAGAACCAGGAAACAAGCTGAAGAGACAAGGACCTTCCCCCAGAGCTGACAGAGAAAGAAAGCCTTCCCCTAGAGCCAGAACTCTGAATTCGGACTTCTAGACTCCTAAACTGTGAGAAAATAAATTTCTGCTTGTTAAAGCCATCCACTTGTGGCATTTCTGTTATAGCAACACTTGATAACTGAGACAGAATTTGGTACTGGAAGAATGGGGTGCTGTTCTGACAGACACCTAAAATAGGGAAGTGATTTTGGAATTGAGCAATGGGTAGAGGCTGGAAGAGTTTTACATTGCCTAGTAGGAAAAGCCTAGATTGCCTTGAAGAGGCTGTTGGTAGAATTATGGAGGTCAAAGGCAATTCTGGTGATGGTTCACAAGGAAATGAGGAGAGTTATAAAGTATCTGCTGTCTTGGTGAATACATATGGCACCAGCAATAGAATGTTGCTAGAAATGTGGATATTAAGTGTGCTTCTGGTGAGTCTTTAAAAGGAAATGATGAACATGTGTGTGATTGGACAATGGAGGAAGGGCAAAACTTTTTTTTAAAAAAAAAATTTTTATTGTGCGTTAGGTGAAAGTTTCCCATTCGATAGTGTGTACATCAAATGTTCCATGACATTGGTTACATTCCCCACAATGTGTCAGCACTCTCCCCATTTCTGCCCTGAGTTCCCTGTTCCCTTTTGTCTGGATTTTCTACCCCTTACTGCCTTCTCATCTTTGCTTTTGGACAAATGTTATTTTTTTGATCTCGTGTAATTGATTGTTCTAAGGAACATGTTCCTCTTGAGTGTTATTATTTGTTTTACGGGCCTGCCTCTTATTTGGCTGAAAGGTGTTCTCCAGGAATGGCTTTGGTTACAGGTCAGAAGGGTTTTTAGGGCCATAGTCCTAGGAGTTCCTCCAGTCTCTGTCAGGCCAGTACGTCTGGTCTTTTTTGTGAATTTGATTTTTTGTTCTACATTTTTCTCCCACTCTGTCTGGGACCCTCTGTTGTTACCCCAGTCAGAGCTGTTGGTAGTGATAGCCAGGCAGTACCTAGTTCTTCTGGTCTTGGGGTCATATAGGCTGTGGTTCATGTGGTCTAGTAGTTCTTTGGACTAATAGCTCCCTTGACTTTCTGGTTTTCTTCACTCTCCTTTGCTCTGGACAGGAGGAGACCAGTGGTTGTATCTTAGATGGCTGCTGTCAAGCTTTTAAGACCTCAGATGCTACTCACCAAAGCAGGATACAGAACATTGTCTTTATGAACTATGTTGTGCCAATTGACGTAGATGTCCCCCGAGTCTGCGGTCCTTCCCCTTTGAGCCTAGGAACTTCATCCCGCAAAGCGTTTGGTTATGTCTAAGGAGTTACCATGACTGTGCACCCTTGAGTGCTCTATTGTCTATATTAATATACATGCAGCACTTAAACAATTATGTATGTAGAAATATCCACAGCCTAACCTGTATCTGCAAGTGGGTGTGCTCCCTTACATCCTTCCACACCTCTTTAGAATACCTATCTACCTGTGTATCCATTCGTAAATTATTGTTTGTTAATACTATTGCTGCATGATTGTCTATGTTACAGTAATTACTGTAGTTGCCCTTTATTCTTGCATTCCTCTCAGTGTCTTCCTTTGCCTTGGTCATGTTGTGTTGACTTCCCCCATATTGTGTGTTGCCTTTCTCTTCACCAATGTGTCTTCTATCTAGTTAGTAATTTTCCCTCCCTCCCCCTCCCATCCCTGGTAATCATCAAAGATTTTTTTTTTCTTATGTGTAAACCTTTTCTGGTTTTTTTTATCGTAGTGGTCTCATACAATATTTGTCCTTTTGTGATTGACTCATTTCACTCAGCATAATGTCCTCCAAATTCATCCATGTTGTGAGATGTTTCGATAAACGTAGTCCCTGTTACTCCATCTGGTACCAAAGCAGAAGTTTCTCCTCCTATATTATCCTCATTTTTTAGATTACTAAAGAGATGAGAAAGGGCACATAGGTAGTACCATATTTTTACGCAGATAACTCACGCCTTCTACATTTGTTTGCCAACCACACCCTTCCCCCCAAGCTATTTTCATAAGTGCCACTATGCCAATTATTTTTACATGTTGCTGTAAAAAAATTAGTAGAGTGTGCTTACAAAACTGTCTTGTGGAGGGAGGGCATTGTTGGCAAACAAACGTAGAAGGCGCATGGGCATTATTTACATAAAAGTAAGGTGACACAGCTGGACTTGAATATAAATCTTCCAGACTCCCAAGATAATGCTCTTAATTGTGAGGCTATAAAGCATTCGTCTGTAATATGAACTGATGCATTTATAATTGATGGATTTATATTGAGGTATTACATTAAGAAACATTGACAACATTTTTATGGAAATTGCTTTCGCTTTCTCCCTTTTAAAGATAAATGCCAGGAACCTGAACCCGAAATAGTTTCAGTTTCATCTGCAAATGAAATTTCCGTTCATTTGTGTTCTTCTAAGTGGAATGAAAAGAAAGACACCACAATATGGTATAAAAATGATGGCAAGACACTTATACCGATGGAGCGAGACTCCAGGATGCATCAGTTCAAAGAGAAACTTTGGTTTGTTCCTGCTAAGGTAGAGGACTCAGGACATTACTATTGTGTGGTAAGGTAAGAAAGGAATTAATACCTCACAAAAATGTGTTCTAGATACTCGCAGTAACTAAGGGCAAAAATGAATATCTTTTAATAGTGCTAAATTCACCTATTTTATTTTATTTTAGAAACGCAACTCACTGCCTTAAAAATAAAATAACTGTGAAATTTGTGGAGAATGAGCCTGACTTGTGTTACAACACACAAGCTAAATTTCCACAGAAACTACCCATTGGGCAAAATGGACCACTTGTGTGCCCTAATTTGCATGTGTTTAAAGATGAGAATCGTGAGCTCTCCAACATACAGTGGTATAAGGTATTTATTGTACTTTAAGTGTGGTATTTTGCTTTTCCCAGCAAATAAAGTCATTTTCTGTCATGGACAACAGGATGAATCTGCAAAATGCTTTTTCATTGTGCATATTTTTTTTCCGTTTGAGTGGTAGAACTTCCTGGAAAATTTAAAAAAGAACTATAAGGCTGCATTCATTTAATTTGAAGCTTAACAAACAACTTGCTGTTGCTTTTATTTAATACAGTAAGATACAATTGAGAAAAGCAGTAGTAGACATTTAAAGAGAAGGTCGATTATAAATCTAAGGTGTTTAAGAGATATTTATTAAAAATATGTTGCTTTGTGTTTTGTTAACGACATTAAGTGGTCCTCAGATAACTTAGTGGTTTCTCCCAGTGCCTCAAAAGTAGATTGACTAGCATTCCATAGAACCCATCGTAACATGTTTTGGTGTCTGTCATCTGTTAGTCCATTGGAGCTTAAATGGAGAATCATCTTGCAGACACTGAGATGTACAAAAATAAATAAAAGCCGTGAAGAAAGAAAGTACATTACTGCTAAGAAAATTTCCCCAAACATGTTTTTCTTGCAAGATAAATTTGTGCTCCCTTGCGTTCATAACTCAAGATTCGTAGTCATCAAAATGTAATATCCTAGGAACATAATTAACTTTTACTAAACAAAAAAGAAATGCGATGATTAACCATTTATTGTATGCAAGGAAACTTTCTAGTCACTTTATTTTATATAACATTTGCTAGAGTGAAAAAATGGAGTTCCTTTTGCTGGTCGACTGGGGAAAGTTCTTCACTGGTTTTCAATTCTTCCTGCTCCCTTCATCTAGGATTGCAGACCTTTACTTCTTGACAATATAAACTTCATTGGAGACAGAAATAAACTCATCATAATAAATGTGACTGAAGGACATAAAGGGAAATATTCTTGTCATGCATCCTACATACACTTGGAAAAGCAATATCACGTTACGAGGGTAATAGAATTTACTCCTATAGGTGAGTCACAGCACCAACCCTAGGAGCTTAGGTCTGGGAAGGCCCAGACACCGTGATTTTAACACTATCTTCATTGTCTGTTGTGGAAATAAATCCAAAATAAGGTCAATGGCTTGCCAGAGGTCACGTGGCAAGTTTAGTTTGTTTTTTTTAACTGCTAAATAGCATGCAGTTGTTTTCCATTATTGCTTTAAATGCACTGCTAATGAAACAGACACATCATGACCTGTGTTTTCCAACTGCACTAGGAGGCTTGTCGTGCTTTGATGTGGCTAAAATGATCCTTCCAGAGAGCTCCTCGGCTCCTGCTGGCTGGTGTATGGGAACATTCTGGGAGCTTTTGCTTGGGGAGTCTGAATGTTTAGCAGCTGGGATCATTGGCATGATGAGGTGGACACCGATGGGCTTTGGAGTAAATTACACTCCCAGAATCTGCTTCCTGTCAGCTCTGTGACCTTTGCCGAGTTACTCAAGCCGTTTAATCCTGTTTTCCTCATCTATAAGAAGAAGGTGACAGGACTTCACAGGATTGTTAGGAAGATTGTTCTTAGGTGCCACTGTGTTGATTCCAACTCATAGCGACCCTATAGGATGGAGTAGAACTGTCCAATAGGGTTTCCTAGGATGTAGTCTTTATTGGATCACATCGCCAGGTCTTTTCTTCTGTGGAGCTGCTGGTGGATTGGGAACACCGACCTTTCAGTTAGCAACTGAGCGCTTAACCATTGCAATTAGTGCTCAGGTAGTCTAAGCTTATGGTCACTTGTCAAGAAAAAACAAAAACAAAAAACCAGACCCATTGCCATCAAGGTAATATACACAATCACCATCTGTCTGTCATTTTGTTGTACTGTGGAGGCTTGCATACTGCTGTGATGCTGGAAGGTATGCCACCGGTATTTCAAATGGTGGACAGGTTTCAGCGGAGCCTCCAGACTAAGGCAGACTAGGAAGAAGGACCTGGCGATCTAGTTCTGAAAAAACTGACCAGTGAAAACCTTATGGCTAACCGTGGAACATTGCCTGATACAGTGCCAGAAGATGAACCCCTTAGGTTGGAGGGCACTCAAAATACAACTGGGGAAGAGCTGCCTCCTCAAAGTAGAGTTGACCTTAATGACATGGATGAAGTCAAGCTTTCGGGATCTTCATTTGCTGATGTGGCACAACTCAAAATGAGAAGAAACAGCTGCAAACATCCATTAATAATCAGAACATGGAATGTACGAATGAGATGGGTTGACACAGTGGCTGCAACAATGGGCTCAAACACAGCAACAATTGTGAAGATGGCACAGGACCGGGCACTGTTTCGTTCTGTTGTACACGGAGTCACTATGAGTTGGAACTGACTCGACGGCACCTAACAACACTAACTCTGGTCATGTGTAGCTCTGGTTTGTCTTTCTTGAGACACAGCAAGTAGACCAGCAGACAGAACTCGAGGGAGAACTAGGTACTGGGGAATTTTTACACGGGTGAAGTATGGTTTTAAAACTGTTTTGTCTCCTTTTCCCATTCCATTTGTGGAAACAATATACTTTAATCAAGGGTCAGGTAATAGTTTGTTTTCTTCCCAAGGCCCATCCCATGATGCTTAGTGCTTTTTGTTCATTCCTGGATTCAGAAATATTTATTGAGTATTTAGTATGTGCCAGACACTATTTTAGATATGTATTAGGAGACAAAAGAGACAAAATCCTGCCCTGATGGAGCTTACTTTTTCTTCTTCTGGTTTTTTTTTTTTTTTTTGATGTAGAATATAAGGCCTTCTTGGCCGTGGATCAACCCTGGAAGTCAGTCATCTTGTCAATAAAAGTCAAATTAATTTTGGAGACTTCTTAATACTGTTAATACTTTTTGAAGTCCTTTTTGGTGAAGTGGTTAAGAGCTCAGCTACTAACCAAAAGGTCGTCAGCTCGTATTCACCAGCTGCTCCTTGGAAACCCTGTGGGGCAGTTCTACTCTGTCCTGTAGGGTCACTATGAGTCGGAATCGTCTCAGCGGCATACAAGAACAACGTTAATACTTTTACACCTGTTGTAATAAGTTAGAATTCCCCTATTCCAAATTGCTTGGTGTTGTAGTTTCTTAGTGCTTCTGTAACAGATATACCATAAGTGTGTGGCTTTAAAGAACAGAAATTTATTTCCTCACAGTTTAGGAGGCTAAAAGTCTAAATTCAGGGCACTAACTCTAGGGGAAGTCTCTCTTTCTGTCAGCCCTGGGGGAAGATCCTTGTCTCGGCTTTTGTAACCCTGGTGTTCCTTGGCTCCTTGGTGATTCTCACATGTGCTTTGGCCTTCCCAGTTTGTGCTGGCTTGTCTCTGTGCCTCATCAGCTCTTTTTGTATCTCAACAGTGATTAGGCTTAAGACACACTCAACACTGATATGGCCTCGTAAACATAACAAAGAAAACTCTACTCCCAAATGGGATTCCATCCACAAGTATAAGGGTTAGAATTCTAACACACGTTTTGGGGAGACACAATTCAGTCTATAACACTTGGCATTCTTCAGTAACTGTGTGGCTTTCGCTATTGGATCATTACTAAAATGATTAAATACAGGCCTAGCACTGGCTGGCTGGCCTGGTTAGTGATACTCCTTCCAGGGCTGTGTCTTTTCACTACCACTCGCTCTTACTGATTTACTTGAAGAGGGGCACTTGTCTGGAGACCCAGAGTCCCGGGCCATGGCTTGAGCACAACCCAGATGCATGTTTTTTGGTAGCACCAATGGGTCATGGCTTCTCCTTTGGGGCAGGGATTCAAGGTTTGTTATTCCGTGTTGATGTCCCTCCTTTGCCTCTCGTCTCCTGTCTCCTGCCTGTCACAGGTGCTTTGGGCACTAGGGGGAATATCTGGAAAAGACCATTTAGTCTATCTGGCTACGTATTGCCATCTTTTGTGATTTTTATTTGCAAATGACTTAGAAGTCCCTGTGAACGTTTTTCTTTCAGGGAAAGATGAAGTCCGAGGGCCTGTGATATTGAGTCCAGTTAATGAGACAATGGAAGTGGAATTGGGTAAGTGGTCTTCCATTAGGATGTGTTGAAGTCAGTATTTTGAATTCAAGCATAACATCAACTGTACCTTTAGTACACATACCAAAAAAACCACCACGCAAACTGGTTGCCATGGAGTTGATTCCGACTCCTGGTGACCCCAGGTGTATCAGAGTAGAACTGTGCTCCATAGGACTTTCAATGGCTGAGTTTTTGCTAATAGTTCACCAGGCCTTTCTTCTAAGGGGCTTCTGGGTGAACTCGAACCTCCAGCCTTTCTGTTAGCAGCTGAGCGCTGTTAACTGTACCACCCAGAGATCCTTTCTACACATAGCCTGAGCTGTTTCCTAAATAGATCTATAATTAGAGGAAAAGTGGCACAAATTATGTCTTTGAATGTTTCTTTGGATATTTTTTTTTACCTCTTGTGGTGAAAGTCTAGCCATGCCTGGTTTGTTCGCTCTACTTTGCTGTGGACACTTACTAACCATGAAAACACTAGTCAGAAGGCAAAGTTCATTGGGCCTAGAAATGAGAAATGACATTTGCCTGACAGACGTGGATGGATTTCTTATTCCCAGAGCTAAGCTTTTAGGCAGAACAGTAAGGTGGCAGTCCAAAAATATGATAGTCATTGTAGAAAAATATTTTCCAAATTACTGAAAAATTTTTATCTCAAGAAACAAGAAAGAATCCTACAAGCATCCAGACGTTCACGGTCCAGTACAGTAGCCAGCTAGTCACACATGGCTATGTATATGTACATTTCAATTAGTTAATTTAACTTAGTTTACAAAAATTAGCGCCTCAGTCACACTAGCCATGTTTCAAGCATTCAGTAGTCACACGTGACCAGTGTCCTTACTGGACAGCACAGATATAGAACTTTTCCATCATGGCAGGAAGTTCTACTGGACAACACTGGTCCAGTCATAAAAACAGATTCGTGTGTCAGGGGTTCAAAAATCTGGCATTGTATTCTGTAACAGTAACTGTGCATCAGCAATGAGCAGCTGTACAGAGATTTGAAGGTAAAAGTTTGTGACCTAAGAATTCTGTACTTGACCAAGTTGTTATTCATGGTGGAGGGTAACAGACATTCTTAGATAGAAACGAAGATGTCAAAATTCAAAATTAAATCTGGACAAATAGAATCTAGAGTAGTGTTTCTCAGCGTCCCCCCTTTTTTTTTCATTCTTGCCCCCCTTCAGGGACTTTTTAGACATTTTTTTTCTTAATCCTCTCTCTCTGTCTCCCTGGATTTTGCATACCACACATACATGTATCTGTTGATGTGCCTTGGCCCTTTGGAGAGCTACAGAGTACTGTAATAGCTAACATTTTTTTGCCCTCCCCCAAGAACCACTTTTTGCCACCATGGCCTTCGTCCCTGTTGAGAATACGTGCTCTAGAGGTGTGTAATTTAGAGCTCTAAAACCTAGGTTGCATTGATCTCCAAATTTAAAAGTAGCTTCATAGTAGGAGAAAATTATTTTAATAGATCACATTGGCAGTAGATCAGAGGCCCTCTGGACTCAATGGGTCCTTGTCTTTCTCTTGTAAGAATACATAGAGAAGACATTTTTGGGGTTCAGCTGTGACAAGTTTATTTTACTTGTGACAAGTAAAAGGAGTCAGTCAGGGCTCTTGGTCCTCAAAAGACTGACTCACAAGGAAAAGCAAGGCTAGGGCTTATATGGGTGCGGTGGGGACAACAGAGCAATGAATATTCAGTGGGTTTCTTCGAAGGGACGGGTACTCCTTGGAATGGTAGTGCAGACTAATTAGCTTGCATGCGAATCTAGAATCCAAGATGGAACCTGCTGATATTCAAGATGGAGTCCCCTGGCAGCTCTCGGCATCACTTATTATGGGATATGGCGCGGGCACACTGATCTTTTGTATTGCCTCGCCTTCTTTGTGGGCTAAAATAGCGGTCACACTTTGTTCTTCTGTGCATGTGGAGCCTGTAAGGGGAAAGGGACTGGAAAAACACTAAGGAGGAAGTAGTAATTCACAGGTTGTTCTAACCTTATTTTGTGTTGACAGGATATGGTTCCTGTTTATCCAACTTCTAGGTGGTAGTCTTTTAAGAGCTCTTTTATTCCCCCAGCACAGTTAACCCTATCTGTCTCAGTCACCCCTGAGAGATTTATATTCTTTATTCTTAAAGGCAGTTAGGTCAGAGGTCTTTTCTTCTGTAGCTTCTTCAAGCTGTCAAGGGGTACTGGCCTGGCTAACAGTAAAAATCTCTCTGCTTGCTCCAAAGAACTGTGAGTGCCGGCGATCTCACTGTTGAGGATGGGTTGGAAACCTTGCATCATCATTAGCTTAACTTGGAATTGTTGCAGCCTAGAAGACACGTACTTTACCAAAAGCTGAAACAGGCAGGGGCCAAACAGGAGGAGGAGAAGAATGGCTACTACAGGTCCCAATAAAGGCAAAAACCAGGTTAGAGAAGGCAAATACCCTTTAATTTGGTCCCATACTGGGGAGGCTAATTTTGACCTGGTTTCTTTTAGCCATTTGCCTTTTTCTAATAATCTGGTGGCCCTAAGTTCAACTTCTTGGGAGATGTTGACATAAAAACAACAGGAAGTGTTAGCGACTGCACAGACCCCTCCCTGTTCAGCAAATAAGAAGTCCAGGGCTAGACTATGATCCATCACCATGGTAGCATGAGAATCTAGGGATTTCTGTATAGCCTGGAGACTCTGTCCTGAGTCTTTGGCCACTTCTTCAACTATGGTAGAGACATTTGATAAAGTGACTGCGTTGTATATTACCCCTCTTGCTAAGGCTCCCACTGCTATCACTAGAGTTGTTATTCCTAGTGCTACTAGAGTGATTGGCTCTCTTTACGCTCGGGATAAACCAGAGCGAGTGCCAGGTGAGGGTGAAGCCATTAACTCTTGGTATACCTGGATTTGGTCATCTTTTGGCCTCCCCAACCCAACTGTGCAGATTTCCCTAACTTATGTGAGATTGAAGCACGAAAGGGCCCAACTTTGTCTCTTTCTGTCAGAACACAAAAACATAATACCTCGTGGTAGACGTAACAATTATGAGATATTTTTCCAACTCGTGGTATCCATCTGGATTTAGGTCAGGGTTATTAAGAAGCCATTTACATATAAGTCAAGAAGTGATCGTATTGCATCCTGTATATTGACCTTGGAAAGTCTCCCATCCAGGAGCAGGATTTTTATTTATCTGCTCTTTATACCACTTGTTCCAAGTGGTGATGTGGCCTGGCTGGCACTCAGTTCCTGGATGTGTAACAGTCATAACATTACTATAGGCCGTGTTTAGTCATAATATAACTATAGAGCAAGTGATATTTGCACAAGTGTTATTGGTAAAGCAGAAAAGGGCAGTTCTGTGGGCCTTGTCCAGTGAGCATTCAAAAGTAGTTAAGTTTTTTGCTGCCAGTGGAATATTTCATTGCAGGGTAGCAGCCATGATTACGCATCATATTTCAGTGTTAATGTCCCACATGAGGCCTGGAGGGTTAAGCAGTAGCAGTAGCCCACCCAAAGACCCCTTCACGATGGACAGGAATGGGGATGATCCTGAGGATGGTGACTTTGGTTCCTTTAGGTTTCAAGAATGGGCTTAGGATCTGATTTGGAGTCAGATTTTTAAGGGAAATTGGAACGCCCAGTAATCCAAACCCTCTTCCGGATCCATCTTTTCGGTTATGATGGCATATCCAACAGTTAAGAGAGGTTACTGCCACGGACTATGTTCTCAGACAGGTGAACTAATGAGTTATTTCTCCAGGGTGGGGTGGCAGCACCAGATTGGAAGCCGAGAGGGAGAAGACAGCTGAAGCCCATAATTTAACACCAAGGAAAGTAATCAGACCCCAAGAAGGGAACTTGACAGGAATAAACCCAAAATGAAAAAGATAAGGAGAACAAGCACAAAAGTGACTCCTAATGTAGCAGCTACTCTACCATTGGGATTACTCATCTGTTGGCTGGGGCTGTTTTCTTGAAGAGGAATTTGAGATCTTTGATCGGCTCACAGATGTACTCTGGGGGGTCTCTGGCAATGTCTTCTCCATTTGAATAAACCTGGTCTATTATTTCTACGCAGTCATGTTCTAGTTCAGTCACATCACTCACCGGGAGGAGAGATGCAGGATTTAAAGTTTGACATACGTTTAGGGTGACCTCAGGGGTGTCTAGTAGAATGGCCTGATATTGAGTGATATGGCCCCCGGTCAGCCACTGGTTTCCTTTCACTAGTAGTACTGTCCGTACTTGGTGAGGGGTGAGGACCTCTAGGGGCTGTCCTAGAGAAAACTTAGAGGCCTCCTTCACTAGCAGGGCAGTAGCTGCCACTGCTCTAAGGCAGCTAGGCCAGCCTTTGGCCAGAGTCCAGCTGTTTTGAGAAGTATGCAACGGTGCGAGTAGCTGGACCTACTTGTTGGGTCAAGACTCCCCAGTGTAAGACCCTGTCTTAAGAGCCTTGGCAGTACCGGGAGGATTCCCTTTTGGGCCTCTGGTTTTAGGGTCCCCCCCCACCGCCCAGGGGTATTCAGCTCCAGGCCAGAGTTTGATAACCACCTGGAGGGCATCCCTTGCCCTGCCTGGGACTGAGGTATCCCATACTACCGGGTTCACCTGGTCTTTTATAAATTTGGGGCTCTCGTCCTTGGAAGATCAGTTTTCTTCTTCTGTTAAAACCAGTAGGCATAATTCTAATTCTTTCCCTTCCTCAAGGTTACCCGGAGCTTTATGCATAGAAATGCTTGTTCCTACCTTGGTTAGGAGGTCCCTTCCTAACAATGGGGTCAGACATTCAGGGGTATATGAGAAAGAATGAAGCAAGGCAATGGGACCTACCTCCCAAGGGAGAGGGGGAGTAAAGCATCTTACCCTTGCCTCCCCCTCGACCCCAGTGATGGTGCAGTCGTGGATGGAGAGGGGGCCTCTGTGATGGGTCAGGGCAGAGTAGGGGACTCCAGTATCTAATAAAAATTCAGTTTTCCTACCTGCCACATTGATGGTAAC